AGTGCCAAATTGAATGTAAACAGGGATGAATTCTTGACCAAATTGTGGAACTCTCTGAGGTTTATTCTCTTGGTCCTCTGGCTCAGTTTTCTTACCCAGAATAGCCCTGCCTCCACTGCCTTCATTTTTTTCCCCACCCCTAAGTATGTTAGTTTGCAGTTATCAGAAACTTCATACCTTTGTAGTTCTCTTAATTCTTTTTTTCTCCTATAAAAGTAGGAGAAAACAGTCATGGTCTTTGAAAATCATTTTAAAGTACTTTCATAGAATAAAAACCCCCTTCTTGGTTAAAGGAGATTCAGTTTTTTACATGTGAATAAGAGAGTAAAATTGTATTTCCCTAAAATGATGTGAGATATCCTCTTATCTTGAATGTCCCCACCTTTACCTATGGAATTGGGTGCCTTTATCATTTTCCCCCAAAACGTCAAGCTTTTAGGCTATTCCAGGTCTTTTTTCTCTCTGTTGCTCACTCCCATCCAGAGTGAAAGAAACCAAAACAAACTCTCTTTCTTTCATATTTCTAAAACTTTTCTCCTGAGTCTTTAGCCTGACTCCTCCTATTTCCTAGGAAATTTGATATTACCTAATTTTATATTTATGTTTCTCTCCTTTCAAATCTTTTGAAGTGACTAATCAGCAAAAAAGCATATACAATAAAACTCAAAGTAGGACGTGAGATTCCTAGTGAAGAATAAATTATTTTAGTTTTCTGAGGGCTAATAGTAACTCTAATTGTTAACTGCCAGAAAGCTGTAGTTGGTTGAACAGAGGCATGCCAGTTGACCAAGAGAAAAATATGGAAGTAGAAGGCACATGCATATGTCAAAAAGTCCCTGCAGAGGAAAGATGTTACAGCGTATTTGAGAAATTGAGAGACCAGTGTACCTAGAGCACAGAGAGCAACAGAGGAGGAATTGGATGAGATACACAACAATCACATCGTGGAGGGGCAAGCACTGGATTTGGTATTTAAAAGCAGTGGGCAGCAATTGAAGAGCTTTTACTAAGAGCAATGATTTGATCTGTTAATCATTAAAGTATCACTGGCGACTGTGGGGAAGGGACAGATACCAAGTTTGGAATGGGCAGCTTAATTAGATGATGCTAATGTAATTGTCTAGGTTGGTGGTCTCTCAGTTTTAGAGCTTATCCCCGATACATGTGTGTTCATCATTTATATATATACACTTTGGTGCTGACGTGTTGAATACATTGTAAGACATTAAAAAACAGTAAAAAGGATGAGAAAAATTAATGGTCGCAAGTGCTACTATTTTCTTCCCTGCCCCAACTGATATATGTTAAGCTTCTGGGATACATGTTGCCCATCCTGAGCACTGCTAAACAATAGATCATGGAACAAGAACAGAAGCAATGGAAATAGTTTGGAGAGAGAAATTAGGAGGTTGCGTTAACAGGACTTCAAAATTGCTTAAATTGAAGTAAAAGAAAAGGTAGTAGATTTCTGGTTAAGAGCACTGATTAAAGGGTCGACACTCTAATAGAAGCTAATTGTTTTAGTTAAAGTAACATTCTACCAGAATGTGGCGATTTCTCTGAGCATATACTTAATAATGCCCTTAGTAACAGATGGTGGGAGGGCATTTAATGGGCAAGTCTTGGTCTGTGTTCAGGAGGAGGAAGCAGAGCAGTGAACCTGAGGACACAGGTTACTCTTGCCTTTGGAGGCATTAGGGTATGACAGTATTGGTAAATGATAGGCCCCTCAACTTCTAGTTGCCTTTTGGAGTGTATTTAGCTAGAGGCAGGGCCATTCATTTCACAACTAAAAATAAACCGCTTACGAAACGTGGTGGACTAAGGAAGTTATTAAGACTATTGCCAGTGCAGCCGATTAATTTGTCAGCAAGTTATCAACTGTTAGCAGCCATTTTCACATTGGCTTAGAAGGGAATAAAATGCATTCGAGTCATCAGTTGGGAGAGGATTACAAGACATAAAGGATGGGAAAAAACCCAATCATACATAGCTTTGTCTTAAGGTTGAGTTTAAAAAAAAAAAAAGAGAGAGAGAAGATACTTATGACGGTACATTTTCATGTATGGCTATATATGCACAATGCTCCATTTCCTGAGATATATAAAAGTTTTTTAAATCAAATTTTAAAACAAAATTTGAAATATTTTTGAAAATGTTTCAAAATGCCACTTTAAAAATGCATTGCTTTGAGTAAAATTTACTGTTTGTAATCCTCATGCCTCCTAGCACAGTGCCCTGCAGTGTGGTAACTTCTTTTTAATGCAGCAACTGTACCGCTGCAGTATCTGCTTCCCTTCCATTCTGGATACCTTTGAGCAAACATAAACACATTTGCTTTCACTCTGTCTCTAAAATGTATAGCATAGAACTTTGCAATCAAGAGAGAAGTAACTGGGGGCATTACTGATGGTCCGAAGTGTGAACACCACTAATTCAGATGCTGATGTTGTGGTTACTCACCCACTCAACTGACCAGCTTTCCAGAGAATGCAGATCAGATTCAAGCCAGTCTTTAAGCAAACATTATCTCATTTAATCCTAAGAAACAATGCTGAGATGGGTCATATCCCCATTACCAATTGCCTTGGGGACTAACTGCTAACAGGAGGAACCACTGGTTGTGAAAATCATGAATACAGAGTCTACTATAGTAATTATATATAGTAATAAAATATAGTAATACCAATGAAATCTAAACAGCCTGTCATTTTCCACTCCTTCTAACTTACCCAGTGTTTCTGCATTTCCCTGCTCATACGAAACACCTGATGTTAAAGTATGTTAAAGGCAGGGGTAAGCCTGAAGGATGGCTGTTTGACAACTGCATTAGCGATCAAGGGACAGCTATGCAAAAAATAATAATAATACATATATATGGCTAACTTAAAGAGACATGTCCTTTCATAGGTAAAATGTAAGGTTTGTGTAACATCAGTGCTAGTGTTAAAAACTATGCTGAAAACATCGTATTACCAAATTTACTCAGCCTGTACAATAAGTGTTCTCTCCACTCTGCTTTGCTCCCCTGACTGAATGAAAAGAGTTAATGGCATCAGTATTAAGCAGGAAGTTCTGTTAGGCTTATGCATATGACAGAATGAATAATTTAGTATCTTCAGGAAATGCAAACTGCAGTAGAATTTAAGCAACCTATCAGAATTTAGATCAATATTTTACATGATGGTATGAAGTTAAAGCCAGTGGAAAGAAGATGCTTAAAGATACCAGGTGCAAGAATGTTTATAATAGTTGACACTGTGAGAAAGACTGGGAATTTTGGGTTGAAAATGTTTTGTCTTATGCAGTAATAATGGTTTACCTGCGTTCTGACAATTGTCAGATGACTTTTTGCCAACATGATTGGTAATGGGATGTGGCAGTTTCTTTGCTGTCAGAGAAGAGATAATTTCTCAGGTTTTTCTTGTAAGTTTTAAAAATTGTCCTTATGGTTTTTCTTTTTAAATATGGAATAAAGAAACTGAAGGGTAAAACCTGAAGACTAGGCATGTTTCTTTAATAAAGGTATTATAGAAGTAGCCATTTGCAAACATCGGTAAGACAGATTTTTAAAAAAACAGTTTAAACCTAAAATTATGGAAAATTTTTTAAATTGTTTAAATCTCCTATGGAATGATCTCATTAGCTTGGTAGACATTTTATATGTCTGCCTGTGGTCTTTCTATGTCATTACTGTAAATAAATATTGTGCATGCAGCTTTAATAATAATAATAGATTGGGTGGTTGGAAATACTTAGCAAAGGTGACATTTATCAATCTTATTTTGTTTGCAAATATCTACTGGATGTAATATTTTCAAAGCAAGACTTAATTGGATTATGTTAAATCTAATTTCTAGAAATGAAAAATTCTCATATAAGACATTACCATTTTTAGATTTGTGTTATTTAAATATAAATTGGTTTGTTTCTGATTTTTCTTAAACTTTTAGTTAGCATGAGTTGTATATTTTAAATAATATAGTCTTAGGGGAGATCTAAAACACTGTCTTGTTTGCCTTTATGTGGTCTTTCTTAAGCCCCAGTACATTTTAACCACTAATTGTTTCTTGGTTAATACCAATGGAAAAAGAAAATCTTTCCCATGCTGAAAAGAATTTCTTTAGGATTTTATAGAAAATTATTGATGTAAAGTTTTGGATGTCACTAAAGTAATAGTTAAAAAAAATTTACTTTTGTTTTTCTCATCCCAATTTTGACTGTCACCTTGATTTCAGATAAGCCCTTCCCCTTTTCTTAGATCATCACCTTCTCATTGAGTTTTTCTCCTAAAAAAAATTACTTTATTGATACTTAAGCTAAAATTTAATGTAAATAGCCTAAAGAAATGGCTGTTTGATCTGACCACACAGTTTTAATAAGACATTTTGTCAAATATGCACATATATTGAAAAAAATAGTAAAATGTGGATTGGTAGTAAATAGCTGATTTTTAGCAAACCGTAGATATTCTTATTTTGTATCAATGAATATAAAACTCTTTATTGCAGTGGCCCATTTATAATGGCTTTGGTCTTTTTTCAACTAGTAGGAATGAGTTAATCTTAAGCACTTCCCCTAAATTTTTTTCAGGTTCAGTTCTCCTAAATGAGAGGATAGATCTTGTGAAATTAATGCTAATGGCCATAGATCTTGACTTCCTCTACCTTATCTTCATTGACTTTAAAAAAATATAACCCTAAAATGCTGGTTGCACTCTTGAACCGTATAATTAGGATATAACTAAGTTGTAAGTGCATCATTTGATCTATGGCTGCTTATAGGGTTTTTCCACAAAAAAAGATTGCATAATTTTTTTTAAGAGCCTGTGTTAAAGAGGATGCGTTTTATTGAATTACAGAGCTTCCAGGATGAGGATCTAGATAGGACGTATGTATAAATACATTTTGAACATTTCAAAGCACCTTTTAGTTTATATGAAGTTCTTCAGATGGCCCCGTTGTCCTTCAAAGCTTCTAACACCAAGGTGTCTGTTGCAGCCCAGAGCAAAGTTACTGCTACCCAGGACAGCACTAATTTGCGATGTATTTTCTGTGGTAAGCAACATTATGTTTACATTACTTTTTCAAGCTGTGGTACATGCTACTTGCGCATTTCCATAACTTTTGTTTTCTTAGGCCATAGTCTGGTTTGTGATATTTGGGATATATAGCAAGCTATTGTTTTTATGTTGTGATATTTGTTGTGGTTCATGTAGGTGATTTGGTCAGCTTTGAGTTGGCTTGTTAGTGAGGATTTAGTTAGAATTAGGATCTTAAAACTATTCTTGTCCACCTCTTCCAACACAGATGAGAGGGGTTTTTGTTTGTTTGTACATTTTTTGTTTTTAATTATTTTGTTTGGGAGCAAATTTTTGATTGAGATTTAAGGAAAAAATTTTTGCTCATCTTAATATGATTTGAGGAATGTAAATGTGCCTTATTCAAAGGGAACTTTTGCTTAACTTGAATTAATTTTAGGTGTGCATGTTGTGAGGCCGATGTAAACCAATGCTTGCTTTAATAGGTTGATTTCTGATTGATAGCCTCCTTTGTTCAGTAGGTTAGATATCTGTGGCTTAAGAGTGAATTTAGGCTTATTGAGTGTTTTCTTTCACTCTCACTCTCATACACACGTGTGCACATGTATGTATTGTTTGCATGGACAAACCAGGTATGTCACTTAGCCACTCCAAATTAGAGATAATCAGATACATACCTAAGGATACATATCTGTCTGTAAACACAGATAGATACATATCCTTGTCTAAATTCTTATTTCCATTTGTTTCTGAAATTTTCTGTTTTAAAAACCCAAGTTTCAAAGAGTGACTTTTAATTATTTGAGCTTTGAAAAGAAACCTCATATATGCCTTTTTGACTCATGTGTACCTTGCTAGCCAGATTATTTTATGAAAGTTATTAAATGACATACAGTATAGCTCCAATTTTACATAAAGTGTTAACGCTCTGTGTATGTACTTTATGTGACTCAGAATTTTTAATGTTACTCCTCAATACTAACGATACTGTTTCTTTACCTATGAAGATAATTATTTTAAAATGTATGTATTTTCTGGTTTAGGCAAAGAAGTACATGTTGTAAACTTCTTTTTAAAAAAAGGAAAGAAAAGGCTAATGTCTTTATTAGTCACTTAAAGTTATATTTAGAATTGTTTCAGGTGACACAGTTACAGCAGTGAGCCTAATGTGTGGCTATTCATAAATCCCTCCTCTCCCTCCCAGATCCCACAATTAAACACTGCAGATTAAATGTGTAATCAATAACTTTTTTACCTCATTTTTCTGCCTCCTCCTGGGGGTTCTTCCCGGCTAGCTTTGAACTAGCCGTGAGTGATTATTGATATTTGTGTTATTAGGACTCTCTTTAGCTCATTTTGAAAGCCCACCCAATGTTGTATACCTTTCTACTTAATATGTTGAGGTTTATACGTAGAATAATGGATACTTTACCCAATTGCAGAGAAAAATGTTGATTTGACCTAAGTGAAGGTGAATGTTTAAAGCTGTAGAATAATATGTTAAAAAGCAGATTCCCCCCATTAACTATTACCTTTAATTAACTGTGTGCAAACAATATAATTACAACGTTGCTAAGTTTAAATTTGATCGTATTGTGTATATAATAACACTTACTTGTCTTTAACAGGACTAAAAGACCTGTATTTTTAAATAGTCTGTGGCTAATTGTGAAAATAGATTTGTGAAAATTAAAATGTGACATTAAGTGAAATGTGCTTTAACCAAACTTAATATTGAAGGCAAGATTGAAATGCAATTCCTATTTTAGAGAGTCTCCTGATCCGATTTTCATCATTTATAGGATATTATATCAGTGACACTGCCACATTTCTCTGTTCCAAACAGTAACTCACAAACTTTGCTATATACCTTCTTCTTGTAGTCAGGACAAATTAAGATCAGCCGTTATCTTTGGCTGTGAGAGGAAAAACAAACTCTCAAACAGCTGCTGTTCTTAATGATAACATAGAAGGAGCAAAGCAGGTTCACTAGTTTCTTAACCTTGGTTGTTCTTCCCTCTTTTTCCCTCCCCAAAGGGCTGTTCACCACCACATGATGCTCATAAAATATTGTCATTTGCCCACTGAAATGGTTATGAAAGTACCTGTTTTGCGTTTTATGAGAATACAAATACTTACTTGAGAATGTGACCTGTGTGAAGTAATATTTATATTCCAGAACATACAGTGGCAGCTGACAAACTTGCCTGCTTCGTGTCATGTGGGGTGCCTTTGGTATTACTTACCAATTTTATAGCCCATTAGAATGTTTGACAAAAAGGAAAAATGTAATTGTGTACCTGAAGTTTCTATTTACCTGGAACTTTTAATATTTGTAGTAGGTTTGTATTAATTTTTAAATGCACATAAATTTCAATGTGCTAGTTACTGCAACCTGACGATTTGAAGAAGAAACAAACAGAACAACCAGATTAAATATAGATGTGAAAAAATAACAAGGGGAGTGATTCCCTGCACATGCACAAACCCCTCCCATTTAAAGGATGTCTGGAGAGACCAAAAGCCCATTATCATCACAAAGAACCATGTAGAAACGAATTGTTAAGAATTGTTTTAGAATCAAAATTCTCCCCATTTTAAAAGGATCTTCCTTGAAGCTTTTCTTCTCAGCTGCAGGAATAAACTGTAGAAATTATTTTTGTAATGATGATAACAGCCACAAAATATTACCCACATTTTAAAAAATCTCCTTTCTAAATAGATTTGCTTAGTAAGCTTTTAAAAAGCTTTAAAAAAAAAAATTCCAAAGCAGGTTCTATAAATTGCTAAATTTTTTTTCTCAGCTTTTGTGAGTTATATTAAACTTGTTAGGTTTTTTTTTTAAAAAAAAAAAAAAAAAAAAACTGTTAAATAGGATTGAGTTGAAATTTTGACATTTTTTTGAATTTATATATTTGAATTAAAACCTCTAATCCATTAAAATTACCTTTGATATGTAACACCTATCCTAGGTGTGAATAGTACAATTGCATTCATCTTTGAGGTAGATGCCAAGTCTAATCTGCTGACTGACATTCAGCTGTTTTATTATTTAAGCAGCCTGAGGCTTTCAACTATATATTCAAGTAAACATTGTTTAAAAAAAATAGTTAAACCATAATGGTCTTGTGAGTTGCCCATGCTAAATGCCCACATTTAGTACTTTGGATAAACATAACTTTGGATATATAAAGTACATTCCCCAAATATTTCATGCTACCTCAGATTTATCCCCCCACTTTGTATGTCCCCAGAAGAGAGGTCTTTTCCCTGTAAAGTATTAAACATTAGTGTATAGCCTAATAGGACAGTCTGTTTTTACATCATTATTTTAATTTCTCAAGGAAAGAATTCTATTTACTAGACAGCAATCATGTATTTTCATTTATACAAACATTACGTGTGTATTTAATTTCAAAAGTTTTGGGTTTTATGTTATTAATTACATGGGATTAATATTTTTTATATTTCCTTTATTTGGTTCTCAAAATAGCAGACTCTTAGGAAATCAAATGAAATATATTACTGCACTTGTCATCAGTTTGTCTTTAGAGGACAAATTAAATGATTAATCTAAAAACATTTGTAAAGAGGTGAGGAAAAAAGTTAGTAGGTAAGTTCAGATCAAATTCTGTTTTTCCACACTTGGGATACACCAGTACTGCATTAATTACATCCTAATAAATTTTTACTTTGAGTTGTGAAATCTACTCCACTAGTATAAAATACTTTGCACGATTAGCCCATAGATTACAATAATTTACTTTAGTACATAGAAGCATTTATTTAGTAACTTTTAAATACTAGTTGTCTACAAATCTTTCAAAATATCTGTTAGGAGCATTTGCTGGTACACTAGAACTCACAAATATATATAGTATGTCAATACTCATATATTCTCCAAGAGTGGAAGATAACTACTGTTTCTTTACTTTCATGTTTACTGGATTAGACTTTAAGATTGTTCTACTTTAACCCTAGGTATTATATATTAGGTCCAGTATTTATCTCATTTTGTGACAGATTTAATTTTTATATCCAATGACATTAAGATACCCCATAAGTCAGTGGCATTCTATGTAAGATGCAAAAAATGGGTCTGCATTGTACATGGTATGTGGGAATGGATGGTCATTAGTGTCTCATGACAGAACCATGTTGTATGAATGCAAGTTTTTCTTCTTACCCTAAATGAAAACTTAAAATTACCTGTTACATTAAAAATTCAGTTCAGTAGGTTCATTACTATGTGGAAGTTTAGCAAATGTTTTTTCACCAGTGATGGAAATGCTAGGCCATTAGACAAAAATGGCAGCTTAAATTGGGCAAATTTGATAAATGCTTTAGCATACTTCAGTCTAGTAATAAGGTTCTCATGCTCTCTCTCTCTCCTGTTTTTCATTTCCAGTGTTCTATTTAGGTGAGTTTTTGAATTCTGATTTCTCATTTAAGTTCTCCCTCTCCACTTCATGAATAATTACCCCAAAGAGAATGTCTCATTGTCTTAGAAAATGTCAAGCTTAGGTGCCTATTCAGATGCTCATCAAACACTTGTTTTACTCAAGCTCTTCATATATAAATGTTTATTTTTCCTTATTGTTGATGTTTTCCATTTGTTTCAAGTAAGCCTTCTGGAGATGACAAGAGTATTATGTTGCAATCTTTCATTTGCTCTGTGTTATATAAAGCTTATATTTTATTTTGCTAGACAAAAAGAAGACACGTTTGTAAATATGTGATGGTTTTATGTTATTCTCATGATTTTATCTCCTCTATCCAGCTAGATGTGAAGATAATGTTAATCTGTAATATTTTCTCCCTCTGTAGGGCCAACATTGCCTAGACAAAACTCACAGCTACCTGCCCAAGTTCAGAATGGCCCATCTCAAGAAGAAATGGAAATTCAAAGAAGGTAAATTTGCAAGTTATTTCTTTTACTTTTTCTTTATGCTGCAGAAGACAAACTGAGCATCCTAATGTTTAAAGTAGATTATGTCTTGTCAGCTGTTTAAGAGTCACAGCTTTTATTCTTACATTAGTAAGTTTTGGAACTATCGTTAATAAGTTACCAGATACTTGTTATGCTGGATGTGAGATGTTATAAAATTTCATAACTGCTTTTTTTGTTTTTCTGTAAAAGTTATGGTAGGTTTAAAATATTGTAGATACACTTAACAATTCAAATATTTTTATGGTTCAAGAAGTCTTACTTTGGTAATTATAAAGTATTATGTGACTACTATGGTTTTTACATGACGAATTTAACTAAAACGTTGAAACAATGTGGACTGATTCTATAACACTTTGATCTTTAAATATTACTGTGGGGTTTAGTGGTAGAATACAAAGTTATTCTCTATTGGGCAGCATTCCTCCATGACTGGGAGTTCTCTGAAAGTGGGCAGAGAAAGTAGGCTGACAGGCTAACCTTTGGAATACCAGCATGGGGAGCGGGCAGGCCTCAGAACCGCACAAATGCTGAGCTACTTAAAGTTCCACCGGAAGCCCCAGCTCATCTGAGGCAGCTTGTTCAGTTTCTTGAGAGAACAGTCTTCTGTGGTAAATGCGATTCCATCCGTTGAGCTGGTTTGGGGGAGGACAGCGGGAGGAGCTGGTACAGCTGTTCTTCAGATAGTGTATGTACTTATTAATCAGCTTGATTACTGTGGCACTGCTCATTCCCATTCTCTCTACCTGCTGACCTCAAGTTAGGTCCTTCCCAGGTTCCTCTTCCCATGTCTGCTTTGACCATCTTCAGGATGTGTTCTGGGTTGTAGATGCCTCTGCTGCTCCATTTGTTTATGTCACAGGCATTGTTTATTCTAAGTGCTTAAGTTATATTGAGATGGGTGGGGGGAGCGGAGGGAACAAAAAGCCTTAAACCCATCAGACAATAAACATGACATATAGTAGAAGATGATAAGTGCTTTGGGGAAAAAAATGAAACAGAGTAAAGAGGATTATATGTTTTGGAGAGGCAGAGGGAATTGCTGGTTGTAATTTTATTTTATTTTTCCATCCATTACTTATGAGTCTCACCACTTGTGAGTTTAAATAGATTGGGCAGGTTAGATCTCATTGTGATAAAAAGAAGGAATTAACCAAGCAGATATCTGTGCAAGTGCATTCTATTAAGAGGTCTTAAGGAAAGATGGTGCTTCTGTGTACAAGGGCAAACAAGGAGGCCGTGGAGGCTGGAGTAGAAGAGAGTATTGGGAGATAAGGTCAAAGGTAATGGAGGTCAGATCATGCAGGGCCTTACAGGCTGCTGTGAAGAATTTAACATTTCTTCTGAGAGAAATGAGAACCATTGTACAGTATCAAACATAGGCACGATCTAACTTAAAATTTTAACAGAATCAATCAGGCTGCTCTGTTGAGCCTAGACTATTGAGAGACGATTCGAGGCAGGTGCAGGGTTGGACAGCAGCTCAGCAAGAACCCCAGTTAAGAGGCTATTGCAGTGAAGTAGGCAGGTGATAATGGTGGCTCCCACCAGGTCATAGAAGTGGGTGGTGAGAAGTCAGATCCTTATATGTCTTGGTGGATTGTATGCTGGGGTATGAGGGAAGAAGAGGGGTTGAGGTTTTTAGGCTAAGGTAGTGGGAGGGATAGAGTTGCCATTAACAGTTGGGAAAGACTGCGTAGAGCAGGTCTTGTTAGGGGATGAATGTCAGAGATGAATTTTGAGGCTGTTAGGCTAGGATTTTTACTGGAGATCTAAGTAGAGATGTTGAATACTAGTCTCTAGGAGAGTCTCTAGGAGACTAGGGAAGAATTCTAAACATTCAACTCTTTTCTATCCTATCTGTCTACCAGAAATCTGATGATAAATTTGCCCTTACCAATGACCACCACCTTCATTTTTCTACTTGGTCATGGTTTATTTATATGTATTTTAATGATGTTTCTGGAATTTTAGTAGAATTTTGAGGAAGATTACAGGACTGCTCAATCTAACAACCTGAATAAGAGTTCAGAGACTACTGTCTTGCCATCTCCCTGCTCAGCATTCCTATGGCCACCTCTCCTCATGTCCAGTTTATTTCTTTGGTCTGGCATTTAGGAACTCACCTGTGTTTCTGTTTCGCCACTCATGACTGTCTCTGTGTATACCATACTCATCTTTCCCTCTGTGTTGTGTGTGGCATTCACCTCTTCTGACATGTCCTTCTCATATCCTTTCTACATTGTCATTTTCTGTAGATGCTTGTCCAGGCACACTAATGTTCTTCTTTTCTGAATTCCTGTAACTTAATCACACAGTGTTTTGTATTTTCTTCCTGAATGTTTATTTTACATTTGAGTATTACCTCCACAGTGAACATTGTGGGCTGTTTTGAGATTAGAAACCTCAATAAAATTTCTAATAAAAAGTCAAGAAGTTTCTGGTACTGAATTAATTTGTCTGCAGGTTTTGGGGTATAAGACAGAAATATATGTTTGACCTTTAATGTAGTAATTTTCTTCACTTTTGCCTAATTTTTTTCCCTACTCTAAACCCATGGTTTGTAGGAGGAATTATTGATGTTCAGCTGGTAAATGGCCTTTCAGAGACTTCCCAGGTGCTAGGGAAGGCATTACCTAGGAAGATTGTTGAGTTGATTAAGATAACACACTCTTCTTTTGCTGCCTAGGATTTTCTGTGTTTTTTGGGAGTTGGTGGGAGGTTCATGGAGGAGGTGCTCTTTGAGCTGTGCCTGAAGAAGTAATAAAGTAGGAGTTTCCAGTCATAGAAGGGAAGAGCATTCCAGGAAGAAAGAGTAGGCGTATAAAGGCAAGGAGATGCAAACACGCGTGCAGTGTGAGTACGCTGCTTCTTTTCCCCTCCAGGACCGATGGTACGGTTAGATGAGGTTGTATCTACCTTGTAAGAGCCTTATATATACTATGCTAAGAAATTTCTTTTTAAAACTCTTTTCCTGCATTTGTCATATGCTAAAAAGAGGCATCTTGCTTTTTATCACTTTAGTAAATTTCAAATTATGAGAAAGATACTTGTCATTTTTCTTTGACATATATCCCATACAATCTGTTTTTGCCTATGGTTAAGCCATACTTGGAAAAAGATACTACAAAACTCTAAAATATCTGAATATTTATATAGACACTTAGTACTGGTTTTCACTTTCTCTCAGCTGACAGTAGTGCATGGCTGGATCTGGTTGTGTAGGCTAGCAAACAGCGGGAAAGGATGTATAGCACAGTCTAGTGTGAAGGTTGCTTCCCAGTAGAAATTTTATTTCTAAAATTTATTTCATGTGATTATTTATATAAAAGTCATTTTTTAAAACTTGATTTAATCTTCAGAGGCACAATAAAATACCTTCAGGCCAACTTTGTATTTCATAAGCTGAGTGAAATTGTCCTGTTAACTTTGGCTGTTTAACTGGCCTTCTTCTATGCTGTTACTGGAACATATAATGAGAAACATTATCAATTTGCATTATAAATTCACAGCTGTGAGGATGTGGGTAAGGTGCCAAATGAAAAGAGGGATTAGGTGAAAGTTGGCCAACTTGGTTTCTTTCCCTTGCTCAGCTCCTAGACACTGGCAGCCAGACGGGTAGAGCCCAGAAAGAAACAGATTCCTCTTTGGGAAAATTGCCATGGTCAAGAGAAGACAGAGGTGTTGACGCTCAAGGTCCTTGCCAGTGAAGCTCATTTACTTAAGGGCCTCTGATCAACTTTGGTGCTACTACTTATAAATATGAACAGACAGCCAAGGGTCATCAAACCTTTGAGGACAACTTCTGTAAAAGAAAGATCAAAACAAAGAGTTGAAATTGGATGACATATACTGCAATAGCTTTAGAGAGCTAAGAGAATACATTTCATTGATGAAATAAAAATTGCAAGTTATTTTAAAGGGATCATTCAGAGAACAAGGAAGTAAACTTGGAAACTTTTTTTTTTAAAACCACCTTAATTTTTTTTTTTTTTTTTTTTTTTTTTTTTTAAAGAAATAGGGCCGGGTGCGGTGGCTCATACCTGTAATCCCAGCACTTTGGGAGGCCAAGGGAATCAGATCATATACGGTCGGCCTGGAGTTCGAGACCAGCCTGGCCAACATGGTGAAACCGTCTCTACTAAAAATACAAAAATTAGCCAGGCATGGTGGTATACACCTGTAGTTCCAGCTACTTGAGAGGCTGAGGCAGAAGAATCGCTTGAACTGGGGAGGCGGAGGTTGCAGTGATCTGAGATCAGGCCATTGCAGTCCTGCCTGGGTGACAGAGCGAGATTCCATCTCAAAAAAAGAAATAGAAGACTCCATGTTTGGGTCCCTTTCCACGAACACTCACTCGTGGAAGCTGGGGAAAAAAGAAAAGAAGTAGAAGTTTTGAGAACTAAGGTTGAGGGATTTATTCTCTGAAAGTAGTTATAAAACAAAGAGGTGGCATATGAGAAAGAAAGTAAAGTAAGAAGTTCAGATTAGAAGATCCAGCATCCAAATAATAGAGGAGTTCTGGGGGAGTGGGGAGGAGAAAAAAAACATGAAGAAATTGAATCTGCAAATAAATCAGAAAATTTACTGGAATTCATTGACTTGATCATCTAGATCAAAGGCCTGCAGACTTTTTCTGTGAAGGGTGAGATAGGAAACATTTTAGCCTTTGTGGCCCATCTGTGTCATTTGCTAGACTCTTCCTTCATAGCTTGCCATAGACAAAATGGAAATAAATGGATGTAGCCAGATTTGGCCCTAGGGCTGTATACAGTTTGCTAGCTTCTCGTCTAGTTCAGAAAATCTCGCCAAGTGTCCAGCCCACCAAGTGGGAAAAACAAAAAGACTTCCCACCAACGCTTCTCACTATGGAATTTTAGAATGCTGTCCTAGAATAAATAAGATTTCAAATGCTTGGTAAGGGGTGGTGGGAGCGACAAGATAGGGGAGCTTCAAAATCCTGA